TGGCGAGGAATATGTTAATAGTTGTGCCAAGTTCCAATTCTCATTGGGTTCGTTATATTCACTTATGCATAAATACTCTTGGGAAGGTATAAATCCACCAGCTATGGAGTAATTAGCAGGAATTATCACTAAACTATTATCTCAAAAAAAAAAAAAAAAAAAAAAAAAAAAAAAAACTGTTACAAGTGGTTAAGCTGTAGAAAATGAATGAATGAATATGTATTTAGACATATTTTCTAATATAGTTATTTTAAATAGACAATTTACATTTGAAACCTGATCCTCATGCTGCCTGCAAATCAAGCATCAGGTAGAAAACTATTATTTGATTTGCTTAATTTGCAATACTTATATTAATACGTCAAATTCTCCAAGCCATCTTTCCTCATTATGTCCAAGAAATTTCAATTCTTTCTGATTCGACGTGTACTTTATTATTTCCATAAATTTACTTGTTACTCACATGTTCAGTCCATGATATTCTGAGAATCCTTCTATAGGACACATTTCTGCTGCTTCAAGTCTCTTCATCTGTGAGAAGATTGTCTAGTGTTCACTTGCATATAAGAGGACCAATATTATATAACAGCCCAACACTTTTTACACAACAGCAAGCATACGGAAAGCAAGAGAGAAAAAAAAAAACAGCAAGTAACCTATCTAATGAGCTTGTCACTGGATGGCAAAAGAGGGACTAGAAGGGATCATTGTCTACATCCTGAAGGGAAAGGTACTGTCCCCCTAATGCTGAGCATAATCATAATAAACATGCAAAACAAAATGTGGTTTTATTATTTATATCTACTAGCATTGCCCAACTTAATGGTTTTTGCTTAATAGAAACAATTTGTATATTCCATTTTAAGTGACACTACAAAAAAAAAAAAAAAAAAAATCACCAACAACTTTTATTTATTTCCAATTTGGTCTTTTGCAAACAAATGTTTTGTTGACAGCTTTTATTATTTATTCAAATAGAGCAATTTCCAAACATGAGTGGTAAATATTTTAGCAATTATATCTCAGCTATGTGAAGTAAGTCATGTGGTAATTTTTATAGATTTAAAAATTTTAAACAAATCTAATTTTTTATTTATGAAATATTTATTTTTTTTAAAGTTTTGTCCAAGGATAATTAGTTACCATTTTGTTTAATAATGGATTTATCTTCAGTAAGAAAAGAAAACATAATTAAGGTGTGGAACAAGATGGCTTGATCACCCAGCAATCCCCTACATTGACCAGTCTTTGACACAGATCCATGAATGTCCAAGGGAGCTTGACACCACCACAAAAAACAAAAAAACATGCCTAACAATATACTTGAATGAAAGAATTTTCTACAGTTTAATACCATTGTTTTATTCTCATCCATTGAAGTAATACTTCCAACTTCTCTTTCCTACACAATCAGCAAAACTGTGACCATTTAATTACTATGTTATCATGTTTACTATTGTGCCATGATGCTTACATGTCGCATATGAATGACTACAAAGTTATTTACACATATCAAATTACTTTAATTACAACATTGTTAACATCATTTTACAGCATATGTAAATCACTCATGGAGATAACTGTTATGCAGCAGAATAGAGGAAACAAACTTAGCTTGTGCAACACCAAAGATCATTTTTAGTATACGAGGTGTGACAATTTTCAGAATGACTACAGCATGTTGATGGTGTAGTGGCCAAGTAAACATTTTCAACAGTGCATGTTTGGCCATGTTTCAAATTCTGCTAGATGGAAGATACAGACCAGATGTGTTATTCGGTAATGAACAGTAAAGGAAGTTATACAAGTCGATGTTGTGCTATTATTGGTGGAAAATGTGTGAAAGGTATGTGGAGCAGCAAAACGTCAAATTTTGTTGCATGAAGATCTTTTTCTTTTTTTGAAAAAAAAAAAAAAAAAAAAGTGATAGTGAAATATAAGCTCTATCAAAAAAAAAAAAAAGAAAAAAAAGGCTATTAGTGAAAATAGTATGAAGAAATAGAGTGTTTTCTTTTTTTTTATTGGCTCAGTTGGGGTAAAGGAAATGTGAGATGTGAACAATCAGGCATGTGGCCAGGAAAAAAAAAAAAACATTCAAATATGGATAGAATACCAAAATTGGTATGCTCAAATTGAAGACTAAGTGTAAGACTGATAACAGAACTGAATATAAGGAAACACTAATTGTGGATTTGTAAATGAGAAAAAAAAAAAAAAAAAAATTACCTCAAAGATGATGACTCAAACGTTGATTGATGAGCAAAAACAATGTCAGCTTTACAATTCATCTTTTGAATACAAGCAAGAAACAAAATACCAGAGCAGGCAATAGAAAATATTCACTTTAGCCCCAAAAAGCATTTGCTCACATTTCAAACCCTACTTTTTAAATTTGAGGGAATAGTTTCTTACAAATTTTCACTATAAAAACAAACTGTCAATCAACACGTAAATTCAGAAGCGTTGAAAAGGTTACAAGAAATTGTTCATTGCAAAAAAAAAAAAAAAAAAAAAAAAAAAAAGCAACAAAAACACACCTCTGGCTTGACAAGTGGATTCCATACCATGACAATGCTCATCTGCATGAGGATTTAGGAGATTGTAAGTTCCTAAGAAATTCATTACAGGATATACTGACTATAAACGAGAAAAGGCAGTCACATGAATATTTCTCAAATATGGCTGTCAGTTGTCTTGATATCACAAGCAAAAACATCAGCCTGAACAAACCAAGTTGCAACATCCAATTTCAACACTTTAGATCAGGGTTATTTTTATTTTATCATGGATACTCAACAAACCATGAGCTTTCTGAAAGATGTTCTGTGATTTTAATGAATAATAATCATTCCAAGAGTTGTTGCTCAGATTATTGACCAATTTTGTTGTTTTAAAATTTATGGATAGTGAGAGATTCCATCACTCTCTCTCTCTATATATATATATATATAGATATATATATATATATATAAAAAAATAATCGGGGAAGGGGGATCAATAGCCTGAACAATTGTTGGAAAGAAAACATTAAACATCAATTTTAACTATATTAAGTGCAACAGCATTTTAAATAGTAATAAAAAAATTACTTCAACGGTGCTGGAAAATAAGTAATTGATATTTTTTGTGAAAAGAAGAAAAAAAAAAAAAAAATATCGAAGCAGAACAACCCATCGGGTTATAAGATTGCATCTCAAGCCTTTATACAATGTTTTAATTATATTAGAGTTATATATCATTTATAAAAAAAAATTTTCTTTAAATAAATAAATGCTTCCCTTTTTTTTTTTTTTTTTCCTTCTTCTGTTAATGCCTGGATGATGTTAGATGCATAGAAAGAGATGATAAAAAAAAAAAAAAAAAAAAAAAAAAAAAAAGCACACTTTTGACAGCATTTATCTTAGGGGAAATTATTTTCAGGCTATTCCAAAAAGTCAAACAGCTAATGTCTTATAAAAAGTGTAAATTAAGTTACATAGAAAATCAAAGAGGGAGGAAAAAAAAAAAAAAAAAAAAATAACTTAAATTTTTAAATATTATAATTCGGCAAATTTGCATATCACTTCAAAATTTGCTCAGTGGTGTATTGGCAATGCTATCAAAGTTTAAAAAAAAAAAAAAAAAAAATTGGTAGCAGGGGAGATTTAAGAATAACCAATAAAAAAGGAAAACATTATTTAGCACTTGCAGATTACAGAAAGACAGATAATATTCTTCTTTATTAAACAAGCAAAGAAAAAAAATTTTTAAAAAAATGATGAGTAGCTTTAATGCAAAGCATTTTTTTTTTTATAAAGTTCCAGGACTACAACTTGTTCACTTCTGAAAGACACAAAAGACTGAGCAAGCACAAAATCCTATAAATATTCTTTTATTCATGGTCACATGGAATCCTAACTGACTTCACCTTTGTTCTTTCTTCATAAGTTGATATTGAGATTATATATATATATATATATATATATATATATATAAATAAAAAAAACACTTTAAAAGAAATAAAGTGTCATTCACAGGGGTAATGGGAGTCGTTTCCACTGAATGAAAAAGTTTTATACTGTCAGCAAAACTGAACAGAAAGAATTTGAAAGCAAAACAGATACTGACACACAGGGTTTTTCAGAAGAAATAATTATGTATTCTATTCCCATGCTTGTGTATCAAGATTATGAATCATTCAGTTTTCAATTGGACAAACAGTAAAATAGGATTAAAAACAAAAATACAAAGAAGCAAGAGAATTTTAGAAAAACATCTTTAGGAAAGGGAGGACATATTTTGGATCAGACAATAAAAAGGAGAATAAGAGTTTTTCTTCTGAAGAAAAAAGTTTAATATTTTACAAATGGTATACACATTTGTTTTTATTTTTATTGGATTGGTAAATGTCCATTTTTCTACAGACAGCAGACAAAGTTAAAGCAGTTTACTTATATCAGACCAAATTAAAATTGGATATTTCATGTGCTTCAGCCATGGTTTTGTCTAAGGTGTTGACCAATGATAAGAGTTAGTAATCTTAGTTTATTATTTTTACTACTGACTGGAGAAAACATCTCAACAGAATTTTGCAATATACAATTACTTTTGTTTTATGAAAAATTTAAGTATCAAGATTTTGATTTTCTTAGAGAAAAAAAAAATAAAATAAAAACTAGTTATAATGTAAAAATAAAGTAAAATTTTTTAGAGATCTGTTAACTAAGTACAACCAAATTACACACACTATGTAAATAAGACTAAGATGAGGAAAAGTGAGATCCCGAGTTCAGAGATTTTTTTCTTTTACATTTAATATATTAGACTAACTGACAAAGAAATCAGCATGAGAGCAAACAAAGTGACAAGTTAGAAAAAAAATAACTTGCAAAAACTGCTTCAGAAGTTTGTTAGAAGAAATGAAATAAAAAAAAAAATTGAAAATACGTCGCATGAAAGTTTAAAAAGAGTTACAGTGATATTTTAGCTGATCACTCCAATTTAGATAAGAATGAGAAACTCTATATGGCATATATTGCTTTCTTGTAGTAGCAGAGGTGGGAGAGGAATGGAATAAGAAAACAGAAAGGGGGAGCAAAGAGAGAGAGAGAGAAGGAAGGAAGAACAAAGGAAGAACAAAGAGGCTAGAGAAGAGGAGGGAAATGATAGTCTACCCTTTAATTATTCCTAAATAACAGATTGCTCAGAATTTCAGGTGGGATGATCCTAAGAAAGAAAAATAAAATGGGGTGAGGAAAAGTACAGTTATTGGAGGGGGAGGGAGAAAGATTTGTGAAGCCTTTACATATATATTGCAGTGATACATGGAATGAAGAAATCTTGAATGATGTAGTTGTAGTCACTTGTGTCTTTGTTCTCTTTCCTGACATGTGACTAGGACTCCTCTCTAAACTTCATTGCTTGGGCTCTCACTCGCTTTTCATATTCAGATCTGTTTTGGCTGTATTTAAAAAAAAATAAAAATAAAAATCAATAACTAGTTGAAGAACAACATAAATAAAATTACTAATTTGCTTATCTTATTGAGATATGTTATTTTCCAAGTTTCACCATAACTCTTTAGTAGAAGAAAAAACAAGTGTCTTGCAGTAAAATTCTTTAATACAGATATAAAGAAAACAAAAACATAAATTTCTTTCAAATGTCTTTTCTGCAAGTTACAGGTGGTACCATTAATTCTCAGAAATCACTGTTGTTTACGTTTTATACATGTACTGACTTTTGAATGCTTTTACAACTCATTGCTTATGCAACTGAGTTTATGTTGACACACCTATGATGGAGACATTGTATTTTACAAAATTTAAAACAAAAAAAAAAAAAAAAAAATTCACTAAACTTTGGACATCAGTTTACATTTGTTTCCATTTATCAGGAACAATTCAAAAGATAAACAATTACAAAACAAACCAAAAGCTGATTTGCATAGAAGATTTAAAAGGGGAGGGGAAAAAAAAAATCAATAAAATGAGAATTACATTCATCAAATTCCAGCGAACTATGAAAATACTGAATTCTAAGCGTACTCATCTCCTAAATGTCAATTTTTAATCTCAGATCTAAATTAGTACAAACAAAAAAATTACCAGTAAATAGTGTAAGCTTCAGCCTGTGCAGGATCTTTGATATTGGGTTCATTCAAAAGTTCCTGAATTCCAAGCAATATCTGAAAAAGTCCATGAAGAGAAATCATATAAAAAAAATAAAATAAAAAAGCCACCACAATCACACAAACATTATTTTTTAAATTAATTAAAATTGAGGTAATACATCTAATACATTTTGATCAAATTTATATGAAAGAGTTTTACCTGTTTTATTGTAACTGCTGGCCTCCAGTCTTTGTCTTCATCCAACAGAGACAAGCAAACAGTTCCTGATGGGTAAACATTTGGGTGGAAAATCGGTGGCTCAAATTTGCCTGAGAAAACAAAACACATTGTAAGCATTTTGAGGTGAATACTTATTCACTTGCTATAATAAATGTGAAATGGTCAAGATTGCAAGATATCAAACCTATTGCACACTAGATATCTGTCAGCAAGTTACTATATAAAGGAGGAAGAAAAACTACACCTATTTTGAAACCAGAAATAATCCATATGAACTTAATAGGATTTCATTCAGCATTACTAACAGAGTGGCAAGTTTTCAACTGGTGATTAATGAAATCATTGAAAAAGAAAATCTTAAAAGGAACATATGTTATTAATATATCTAAATGTAGAAACTCAAGATCATCTGTCCCCAACCATACAACTCCAGGTAGGTCTTGTGATCTGTCAGTACAGAAGCACCTCCACATGGTCTTCTATTAGTATAAACAGAAAGATTGTATGCATCACCGGCTTGCTAGCTCTGCTGCATAGTTTACACCTGGTATTCCTTGGTATACATCCGAGTACTAACCAGTCTCAATGTTGCTTAACTTTGGTGATGATAACCAGTGTTTCAATGTGATATGGCTGTAAGCAAAGAGGATCATAACAGCTTAAACCAACTCATGGAAGTCATGTCACATCACACATGAGAGAGATAAAGGGAGAGGGTGTGTGTGTGTGTGTGTGTGTGTTGGGAGGTAGCATAGGTCCTACAGCAAGAACAGCAGTGGCAGGTCTAAGGCAAGATGGAGCATATCCCTCTTCAGGCTGGTTTCAGAGCTTTCCTTCTCCAAGACTGATTGCAACCTCAAGGCAAGAGAACCCAGTCTGCTCTGATATTTAACCCATATTTGGGGGAAGGCAGATTTATGCCTTTCCCAAAGGCATTAGCACAAAGTGAACAAAACAGAATCAACCAGAAAATGAATTTAGCATGCCAGTTTCATTTCCCTCTACACCAATAACTATTACACCATTTGCATCTGCTCATGGAAGTAACTGTGAATATAAGCTAACACTCAACCAAGATAAATATTGCTATAAACTGCATTTCATTATTTTACATGGATACCATATACAACCTAGAGATCTGCTCCAATTCAAATTGTATGGAACCCTTGATGATACTATTACTCTCTGGATAGCAATGAGAATACGACCACATTACTCTAGGACAGTGCTTCTCAAATGGTGCGCCCTGGCATTCCAGAGAAACGTGTTCAGATATAAGTAATAAATACATTTTATTACATTGCAGTACCCATCTCATTGAGGATAGCTTCAATGACAGAAAGCTTTTGTTTTGCTGTATCGAACTAGTAGGAGTTGCTGGTCAGTCCTCCATGCCTAGTTCAAGAAAGTTGATTACTAAAAGATGTATTATGTAACATAAAATGATAACAAGGATTAGGATTGTTTACTTAAAAGTAGTCTTATTTATACTTTCATAGTAATTTATCATTTATAATTTATCACATTTATTTATAAGCAAATATAATAAATTAGTTACTTCATCATAAACACGTCAAGCAGAATTACTTATTCTATGCAGTGGATGCATTTCAATATCATTTCTGAATTAAAAATGTGAAAGATTTCAGTCTGCACTAAACCATTCTTTTTTCATTCAAAGAAAAAAAATTAAGATCTGACTCAGCAATTGAGCAGATTTCTGCCAACCAACCTTTAAATATCATTGAAGCACGTCTTTCAGATTGAGAATTTCATAAAACTTTACGATTTAAATTAGCAATGCTTAATCAAACAGACTGTCACAGAAAATCATTCAATTATAAGAAGAGTTCAATTAGCACAACTACACTTTTGTTTTGTTTTTTCTTTTTTCGAATGGTTTTATTTTTAGTGAGGGTCTTGTTTTGTGAAATTTATCAGCTCCCACCCACCCGCATATATAAAAATAACATTACAATATTTTTAAAATTCAAATATGGTGCCTTTCCCCAGAAATTTGTACAGCTCTACCAAGCAAGTATGTGCCAGTGTGAGTTTAACAGGTGTGGAAGTGTTGTGCATACTGCTCATTTTCAGATAAATACACCCATACAAAATGGATAGGTTTCTTAAAAAGAAGCATGATATTGAAGTATCTAAAAGTTAGCAAAACAAAATTTCAAGTAAGAAAGCAAACTACAGGTTACTCACAAATACAATGAAATTTATTTAAGCTTTGGTTTTACTTGGACAGAAAATGAAGATAAGCCTTTGCCACTACATTTAGTATGTGGATGTAAAATGGTAAATGAATCATTGCTTCCTAGTAAATTGAGTAAGCATTTAAAAACCAAACACTCTCACAAAATAAATCTACAAATTATTTCAAGAGATTGTCTGAACAGCAAACAAGAGCTGCAAATTCTTTTAAAAGTATAATGACTGTTTCTGAGAAAGCTCAAATCACTTCTTATCAAATATCAGAACTGATAGCACAAAATATGAAAGCCCATACTTTAGGTGAATCACTTATTTTTGCCTGCATGCAAAAAAATTGCAACAACAATGCTGGGAAATGAAGTAGCAATGAAAGTAAGCAAGATTCCTTTGTCCAATGATAGTTCTCAGGCATATTTTAGAAATGTCTTCTGATATCAAGAAAAATGTATGCAGTAATAAACTTCAGTATTCAAATTTTGCATTGGAAATTGAGTCAACATATATTACCAGCAAGGTGCAACTATTAGCATTCATTCACTTTATCAATGAAAATCAAATAGTAAATCAGTTTCTTTTTGCAATGAATTAAGTATGAATAAAAAAGGTGAGGACATTTTTAACATTCTGAATAACTATCTTGATAAATGGCAGTCATCAATGGAAGTCATGTGTAGGCATTTTTTACAGATGGGGCCCCCTTTCCATGGTATGTTGTATGAAGGGCGTTACATCTTTTGTAAAAAAACAAAAACAAAATGAGAATGTTATTGCAACTCACTGCTTTCTTCATATGGCAAAAACATTGGGAGAAAATTTTGCCAATGTGTGAAATATTTCCAATAATTGTTGAACATTTAACAAGTCTGGTGGAAAAACTGAGTTCTTATTTTCCATCAATGAACACTGAACAATATGATTAGAAACCTATTCACAGAAACTTCAAGTGATTTTGGCTTAACATTAACTGAAGAAGAACTGGCATCTATATCCACTGATCGTGGGTTGATGATTAAACATACTGAATTGCTTCTTGAAGCTTTTTGGATTTCTATAAAAGAAGAATATGTGTCAATATCTAAAAAAAAGCTCTGACCATTTTACTATAGTTTGCAACATCATATTTACGTGAATTGTGCTTTTCTACTCTCACCACAATTAAATGCAAAAAAAAGAGGAACTTTTCAATGTATTGACGAGGAAATGAGTGTTACGCCCAAACATTGAAGAAATCACTAAGACTCACTAGGCTCATGTTTCTCATAAACATAAGAATGAATAAACTTAAGGTATGTTTCATTCTATATTTTTTTTTTATTTTATTACTTCTTTTCTTCACTATTTGACTTCATTATATCATATTTTTCTGAAATTTGTATATAGTGCACCTACAATTATTGGTAAGATTTCAAGTGTGCCCCAACTTGAAAAAGTTTGAGAACCACTGCTCTTGATTTTTAGAGAGACATTTTTTTTTTTAATGCCTTATTCTTTTGTCAGTTATTTAAAGCTGAAACTAAGAATAATTATTTTTTTATGATTGAACATCGCATTAACAATTTTTCAGAAATGAATGATTTTTCCACATACAAGTCATTCTATTTAACCCATAGCTGAAGGGGAGAAGATAGGTTCATACCTTTCCCAAGTGAATGTAACTAACCCAACTGGAATTTGAACTTGGCTCTCCAATTTCTCATTCAGAGGCACTATCCATTGCACCACCTGCATGTCCATAAGTTTCCAGAAAAAGCACATGTAAATAAATTTCCTTTGCAGGCATTTGAAACAAAGTTCAACACAAAATCTGCCAGCAAGATCAACAATGAGATTATTTTCATGCTACAACTATGATATAGTGTCCCAGTTTAATAAACTAAACATTCCAGCAGATGCCTTCCTGTAGATATATGCAGTTCAATAAGACCACCCGAGAGTGTTTTCCTTACTTTTCCGTAATTATGACACATTTTAATAGCAAAAACTTTAATATGTGATACATGCTAGATTTGCTAGTATGTATATTTATCTCTGTGCAGAAATGTTAGTACTGCTGTTAACTCACATTACAACATAAAAAAAAAAAAAAAAAAAAAAAAAAAAATTAAAAAAAAAAAAAAAAAAAAATTTATATTGCATAAACTATATAAAAGTAAGATTAATGCTAAAATATATGAATGGAAACCATGTGACATGAGGAAAAGTACCGAGTTGACAACATACAAATGAAAAGTAAATAAGAATTTTTTTTAGCAATAATAAAATTAATTCTGCGTTTCCATGGCAAGGTATTTTCTTAGCTCTGTACAAGCCTCAAGTATTTCTGAAAGCAATTCAGGAAATTTCCAAATGATTCATATTTAAGTTCTGAAATGTTTCAAAGTGAGATTGACTTCTTTACAATTAATAAACATCAAATTTCATATCTTATTCAGATAACCAAGATTATTTTTGTGATCTCATCTCTTAAGAAAATAAATACATTCTTGTCCACCACACTATATTAAACAACCACCATCATTAAAGTAAAAGTTAATAATGACTTACATTTGGGAGGTGAACTTGGGTAGTCATCCTTAAACAACATGCGAAGTTTGTATACTCCAAATTCCCAAGGTGTCTAATTAAAAAAAAAAAGATCCAGACATTTTTTTCAAAGCAGAAAGAAAAAAAAAAAAAAAAAAAAGAAAAAGAAAATTGTACAAATAATTTTAATCAAGCAAAGTTCATGTGTGCTGTTATTTTTTTGATCAGTATCTGGTTCCTCTACTAGTTACTACCAAGTCCATTTGCCAAAATTTTAATTTTTTTTTTTCTTTTATTCAATATGGATTTTTTTTTTTGGTTATAGTTGTTATGGTAGTCCTTTAATTTTCATGCTTCATGACTGTACTGATGAAAAGTTCTAGGATTACAGATTATAGACTTAAAGAAAAAAAACACTGCCAAAGCAAGCTTTTATTCATTAAGAAAATATTCTAGCAAATGAATAAATCAAATTTTATTTCATTTAGCATTAAGTAAATAAAAAAGATAAAACACAAGCATGTTTTCTAAGTCACCAAAAAGAGAAATAAACCCCAATACAATGGCTAATTGATACAAAAAATTATTAAAAAAAATAAAAGACAATACCACTTACATCAGTATAAAATAAGCAAAGGAAAAATTCAAAATATTATCTAACGTGCAAAATTTACTTACTGATTTTTTACCAGGAATGGCACATTCCCAGTTCATCAGATTTAGGGAGCCGTCTTGATTCTTTGTAGGTCTAGCTACAAAACCCTGAAAATTTCCAAACAAAATATAGAACAATCCCATTTTCAGTTATTTGACCAAGCAATAAAAAATAATAGCAAAACATTAAAGTTCTCATAGAAAATAAATTTTTATAAAAATTGATTTGAAAAGGTGCCAAAAATATAATTTTCAGTAGATTCAAATCTATAAATATAACAAGGAATTAAACTTTTTAAAAATTCATTAATACTTAAATAGTAGTAAATGGTTCATTACTAAGTATTAATTTTACCAACTTATACATATTTGTCAAATATTCTATACTTTTTCAGATAATGTTAGAATTTATTTTCATGGTATAATTGGGAGTAAAAATACACTTAAATAAACTTACGAAAGGATGATCTTTTCTCCAGGCTTTTCTTTCCTCTGCTAAGCGACCAAGGGCAATTCCAGACATTGTTGTAACTGAAAATCCAAAGTATGACAAACAAGAGTCAATTAAAAAAAAACAAAAAAAAAACAAACTAATTACTCACTAAAGAAAAAAAAATACAAAGAACTCAATCTTTTCTTATTAAGATAATATACTATTTGCCTTTAATGTCACTGAAATTACTAATACATCTATAGAAACATCTTTCCTATCTCCAGTTTTCAATATGTGATACCTTTTTATTTGTAGCATCATATTTAGAGTTTGGTAAAAGATGCTTTAGTTCATACAAACTTTCTAGTAATAAATATCTAATCCTGTATTTAACACATTAAAATTTCAGTTTAACCTATAGGATGTCATCAGACTAAAAATGAAATGTGTCACACACACACACAAAAAAAAGTTTTTTCCATTTTATCATTAATTTTCCTAACAATGTCAGTATAATACAAGACCATTTTAATATTACAGATAAACTTTAAGATGAAATAATTACTTTTTTCATTTTTAGACACTGAAATTTGGATATATAACATATTTCAATTTGTTGAGAGAAAAATAAAATACTTAATATTATATTACATTGCCAAGACAACAAGTAGATATCACCTCACAATTTGTTTTGAATATTTTTTCCCCTCGCATAAGTTTGATTCACTTTTAAGTTCAGTTTAAAAGTAAAATTGGGTTCAGAATGCACAACAATAACTTTGAAAGATATTTAAATGATCAATATTCATCTCTGAATTAAGTGCACTATGTTGAAAAATATTTGTTGGGTAAAACAAATGCTATTTCTTTCATTATGCTGAAGACTTATTGATGTACCTATGAATAAAACAAAATCTGAAGACCAATTTCTAAATTTTAACATGTGCAACAATAAAATAAAATGTACTAAAAGTTTCATTCACATAGAAGAGGAGAGAGTCAAGTTAAAGACAAAACAAAAGAGAAAAAACTAACCACCATTCAACAAATTTGGAAATTCATCATTTTACTAGTGTTTTTTTTAATAACTTTACATGAATCAAATCCATGCCTACATTATTTTATGGCCTTTAGTAATATTAATCTAATTTTAATAAATGGAAAAAAACAAACCTTACTGCTTATAAATAATTTTATTGAGTGACTATCACTCAATGTCAATATATCTGCTATCTATGGAACAAATACATTGAATATAAAGTGAAATTATAGCTAACAATTAATATAAAACTACTACTTTTTATCTATCAGCCTTTGTAAGCATTCATTTGTAAAAGCAAAATTCCATAAATTATCCCAATTCAATTAAGTGTTATAAGTAGTTCCATACAGGAAAAACAACCTATCTTATATTTCAAGGTTTTGAAATCAGTTTAAAATAGCCCTATATTGAAATATAAATGAAATTTACTTAACTGAAAGAAAAATGGTCCGATAAGCTCGAACAAAAAAAAAAAAAAAAAAGACATGGCATAAAAAATATCTTTGAGGCTTATGAAGTAAAATCTAATTTTTTTTTAAGTGCTTTGATTTAATGGGTTAAATCAGTAAAAATTATGTTCTTATATAAAAATTATACCTCATTAAAATATGCAATGAATTGAAAAAGTTTACACTTCAACCTACAAGGAAAAGTTTCAAAATTACATGTTATTCACAAACCTTTTTTTTTTTTTTCAAATTGCTAGTTTTGCATCAAATAACACTTAGCATCTAAATTTTCCCATCTTTGGCAAAAAAAACAAAAAAAAAAAACACTTGTTTGCAACACTGAGTTTATATTTGAAAAATGTTTTTTATTAGAAAAAAGTCAAAAGGTTTTGCAATTTCTGCACCTCCTACATCCAACAGTTAATTTGTTCTCTATTCTTTTTAACAAAAATGTTTTAACTTCCAGAGCATAAAACTAGTCATTAAATTCATTTTTTTGTGTGATGAATTATTCCCCTTTCCACCTGTCTCATTTCTGCAGTCTCTAAATGCTGAAACTAACAAATGGTGAAAAGATAATAGATGAAATTAAAGTAGAATTATTTGGGAAAGAATTCCAAATTACGTATGGCAGAAAAAAAAAGAAAAAAAAAAAAAAAAATTGTCACTGCTCAGCAAACATGAGGATGGATCTGTGATACTCTGTGAAAGATCCTGGGCCAAGAGAGATTGTCACCATTAAATGCTTGATGGGAAATCAGCCAGGAAACTACTTAGTTTGCAAATTTCACCTTATAGCAGGACCTACACCAGAACTGGAACAATTTCACCATGAAAACAAGTAAAATTCTGCTAAAGCAAAAATAAAAACAAACATGTTTTAAAATAGGCATCATTGAGAGGTACAATAGAATTTCAACCAAATATTATTTATAAACACATAAAGGACTAAGAAAGTGTAGAGTCTTGTAATACAATTTTAAAAATAAAAAATAAAATAAATGCAGTGTTACACTAAAGGCCTCTACTAATGCTACTAAGCTTTAGATGTAAAGTGATTTGAAGCAAAATTTTAGGCTGTTGACAAAGATTCGTAAAGAATGCAATTATAGTAGTTTTTCTATCTTAAAGCTGAACATTTATAACTCATCAATTGATATAAACTACATTTGGATGGTCTCTAGTAATATAATTATCTCTCACTTTCTCCACAACAAGAAAAAAAGTGAGTGTAGATATAATGAATATGTTCAACCTTCTCATTTACATTGGGGAAGGAGAGAATTTCAAAGATTCAGCTACTAAAATTCTTAACAGTTATAATTTTTTTTTTAAATTTTGAAAATCTGACAATTCTAGGAGTCACTTTATAATTTAACAATTCTATAAGTTTTTAACATATGTTTATCATAATGGGATTACATCATGATTGAAATAGTTACATTTTACAAGTGCTAAATGTTGTGAAAGTAAAATGTTGATTTTCTAAGAACTGGCACCAAACTCCAATACCTGAAAAACTAGGATAAGAATGCTTCTACTTGTTTTTCATAATTTCACCTTATGCAATATTAAGCTGAGCTTAGTAAATACTAATGTTTATCCTAAGTGATGTTTAATTCTCTTTACAGAAGGAAAAAAAAAAATTTTTTTTTCAAATATTTTTGTAATTTGATGGTTGTCTGGGTAATAATAGTGAGCAGTATATGGTGTGACTTGATTAGTAGATGTATAAGGTGGTACTGAAACAGACCAAAAATCTGACCAAACTAAATTTTATTTTTCATTCCTTTATAGTTGAGCAGAAAACTTTTCAGTAAATGAGAAAAGAAAAAACATTTGCTAGAATCTTTAGATTATATACTATTGTGAGTATACCCTAGTATATTCACAATAGTATATATTATATAATAATATAATTCAGGATAGATCTGTTCTTCTTGCTAATCTAATCGCTCTAAACTAAAGGATGTCCAAATATTTTGGTCCAGTTCAAAATAAAGTTATTTTATAAATAGTTTTTATTTATAGAATATATTTGTGAGGCTAAAAAAGGTTATACTTGGAATAATGTATGTGAGTTAGAAACACTAGGTTATTAAAGTTCAGGCGATTGATGAATTAGAACCTTCAAAAAAATTGTTTATTCTCAGGATGTATCTTCATTAAAAATACATTGAGGTCTTCAAAAGCAGAGTTGATAGATGCAAACTCTCTTGCCAATTGATACAAATACTGCAGGCTTTAAAATTTTTTTTTACAAATTTATATCATCAGGCACATATAGCAAGAAAAAAACTCAAAAAGGTGAATATTTTTAACGATAATGCATCCAGGTTTTATCACTCTCTTGTATCCTATGTAACAGATGTTCATGACATCATGGTTTTGACTCAGGGTATTGCAACACAAGAGATTTCGGACACCAACTATCATTACCTGAATGTGCTTCCACAAAGATTTATTAGCACCCCGATTTTTTCTACCCAATCGGGATAGGGGTGAAAATCACCCCCCCCCCCCCCACACACACACACACTTGGACACTTACGAATGTAGCTTTAGCTTTTGAGACGCATTTTATACCCTAGAGAGCATCAGTGCGAAATGAGCACAACTTATCTCAACCGAAATTCGAATGAAAATAAACAAACGTGCTTAAATAATTGAAAAAAAAAAAAAAAAAAATAATAATAATTCAAATATAAAAGTTAAAAAAAAAAGTTGATAATACACACAATTTTGTCTTATCACAAAGAGAAAATTAAATATTCTTTATTTTAAAATAAAAATAACAAAGGCAACTGGTTGAGTAACAGACCTCCCACATTCAAAACTCGTCATGTTGTAAACATCTGGGATACAAGGAAAAAACAAACATCAAGACATGGGGGGGTGCTTTTACATAAATATGCAATAACCATTTGTTCAATCAAATATATTTATCTTTTTGTTGATTATATAAAAGAAAAAAAAAACGCTATTTAAATCAACAGTTATTAAATAAAAAATGAAAAGAAACACTGTTAGTGTTAATAATCATTTTTATGGAATTATTTAATCACGGGAAAAACATTTTATTTTTAAGCTACTACTAAAACAAAAATTCATTATTGAAAAAAAACTTAAATCTTATTTCTTTGAGTGTTGCTCCGGAGCAATAAATGCATTTTAAAGGACATGTTCAGACGTAACTTTATGAATTTCAACTTCTATAGACAAGTCGAAATTGCAATATAAACAAGTATAAAAACAGTGATTAATACAACAATTAAATGTAAACAATTGTTGAGGTTCTTGAAAACAAAAAGTAATGACTCAAACAAATTTCAACCAAGACTACGATATAGTGAAAATATTGGTGATTTTTTTTAAAAAGGAATATTTGTATTGACGGATTAAATTGAAATATTTTTAAGAGAGCTACGAGTAGAATTAATAATTAAATTTAGGTTCAGTTGGGATGGGGGTGGATTTTTTTTTTTTTTAAGGTTTCAGTTCAACTTTCTAGTCTCGGATTTTTAAATTAATTGGCTTTATTTTTAGTTATTTATAGTCATCGTTGATAGAATATTAAGAGATAAAAAAAAATAAAAGTGCGTATCGATATGAATTTACTAAGTTGTTATTAAAAGGGAGAAATCATTTTTATATAAAAAAAAAAAAACGCCTAACGTAAAACTTAGTGTGTTTCTTAAGAAGTGACAGTGTTTTACAACTTATTTGTGAAGAGAAAATAACAAAAGACTAGTGCCATACAAAGTGCAGATCAAGTTAAGACTTTACGGCGTCATTCTTGTTCTACTTAAAGAAAGAAAGAAAAACAATTTGTAGAATAAAGTAATTTTTAGTGAAAATATCAAAGCAACAAGAGGATTTTTTTTCTTACCACACAAATAGGAGAGATCGACAAGACAAAAATGCTGCAAAATGTAATGGCGGATCACGCTAATGGCGGCGTTTCAATCACGTGGTCGAGACTTGAATTTTCCCCGAGACTTGGGTGTTTTAAACCAAGATATTCGTATTGATAAACTTAGTTTGGCTTCATTTGAAAAAATAATGCCAATTCAATTTAGCCACTAGTAGAGTGACCATTTGAATGCAGGAAGAAAACCACTAATTTAAAATTGTAGCATTTTATCTCAGAAGCAAGGAAGAATAATAACATGTTCCGTTTGCCCAGCTAATTCGTTTTTGTTTTTTTTAACAACTCGTTTTTTAACTTATGACATTTAGTTACGATTTTAAATGTTTTAAATTTAATAATTAATTTTTTTATTTTTCTATAATAGGATTTTATTGGAAACTATGAACGACTCACCTACGATTAGTTACAGGTTTGACAAATATAGATCTTAAGAATTATTATTTTGGGGGGGACTGAAAAATGGAATTGTTTTATTTGCGAATACATAGACTAGAAACCTTACCAATTCAGTTTGACTTGCCTATGGAGAATGACCCATACTGTTTAAAATTTGGAGTTTTCCATTTTAATTAATAAACTGTTTGTAAACCTATGATATCATATTAAACTTTCAAAACATTTATTTAATAAATGGTGATAATGAATAACTACTGATTGCATTTGAACACTTTTATTGCTGCCCACTGACTTTACTGATACTTCATCTTGCCTCTATTCTGCTTTCATCATTTTAAGTTTATGATAAACTTATATATGATGAATCACTGAATTTTTTAATTTATTTGAATGAGTTTTGACATTCAATAAGGTGTAAATTGAAAATTTTAAAAAAGAGATTATATGTGGTTATGAATTGATGCAAGCTTTACTAACAATAATCTTATTTATATGTTTAATATAAATAAATTGCTCATGATTTTGCATTAAAAACCAGGAAAAAGGAATCTCAGTGGTCAGAAACTAAAGAGAGCATTAAATAAATGCATTGCTTACTGTAGAAATATATTAACAATTATTACAGAAATGCATCGAAAATCAGGAAAAAACAATTGTTAGTGGTTCAGAATTAATACAAATGTTACTGACAGAATAGACCTAATAATAATTTTTGTCTACTGCTATACTTTTTGACCACTGAATACTTTAATGCTTGCTCCATTATATTAAGATAAAGAAATTATTTTTCTTTCCTGTATTGACTAAACAACTTAGACCTAACTAAATATTATAGCATATAGTGTTAATTTGATCAGCATCTGAGCATGTATACATCAACTGACATAATTCTGACTTAGAACTGAACCTCATCCTATCTACTAAATATTCAGCTGTAGTTAAAAGTGTGTGCTTGAACAGTTTCAGATATAAACTTTCATATGGATTCAGGACCAGTGCAAGGGTCTCATGGCGTCTCCCAAATTTATGATACCCCCACACCCACTCTACTACATCTCAATTTTCATAAGGTAGTATTCATAATACAAATTTTATTGTAACTTGATTATTACAATAATGTGTCATATGCAATATAGGTGAACAATTCAACTAGAAAAATTAAAAATAAATATGATGTATCTAAATACAAATTAGAGATACACAATAGATCATTCAATCTTAAATAGATAAACAAAGTTTTGCGGAAGTTTTTAACACCAACTTGAGAATTTTCTTGTTAAAAAGTTGAATAATTTTAACATGTTCAACATTATAGATAAAAAGTAGTGAATTTTATTTTAGTGTTTTATCGAGACTTGAAAGCAAAACTAATTCACAAATTTGGACAAAAACAAATTCACAGATTTGGCAGGAAAAAAAACATATCATGACATCAAAATCTGCAAAACTTTTTCATCCTTTAATAATAGTCAGTTGTGCTTAGATTAATTTGTAATGTATATAAATGTTGGTAGAAAAAAGCAAATGCTGATAAAATAGTGAGGGTCATTGCCTGGGCCCCTCAATCAGGCTCCCCACTCCCTGGATAAATACTTATACATACACATGCTCACACATACATATATGCACATACACACATGCATACATACACATATCTATATATGTTCAATGGGTTATTATTTCATTATATATATATATATATATATATATATATATATATATACCTTTATAAACAATGGATTTATTTTTAATCTGACACCTTTATTACTTCAGACATTATAGTGGATACTCATAATTTCTTTATGAAGATTTATCAAATATGCAGATTGATAAACATAATACACACTGTTTAAAGTAAAAATAAAAATGGGCTATTTATTTCAAATACAAATATCCACTATAATAACAACATTTGTCCAAGAGTAATGAAAAAGCATTGTTTTTATTCTTGAAAAAGGTCACACACAAACCGAAAATTCTATTTTACTATATATACAATATGGGTAAAAATCAAAATATTTCAGAAGCTTTATTTTTCAATTTTCTAATGATGTAATTGGATAGTACTTTTTTATTTTTTAATGCATTTAACATTTTGTGGCATCTGTCAGTCTCGAGAGACCTTGGATCTGTACCCAAAGAGTTATGCCTTAGCTGCTGATAGCTGTGTAGCATCGTTTATGGCTGTACAGGCCTACACAGGACTGACAGTCTTCATTGCAATGAATGCATGTGAAGATGTTCTCCCCCAAAATGTAGCCTTGTTGTTTTCTTCCTGTCAAGCATGTTTCTCCATGGCAGTGAGCATGAGCGATCATTAGCAATGTCTTCTCACCACTTGATGTCCATGTCCATTGTCCTCATGTCCCTTTTGCAGATGTCCTTGAAGCGAAGATGAGTTCACCCTCATGTCCTCTTGCTGGTGGCCAGTTCCTCATAGAAAAGGACCTTCAGAATCCCTCCATTTGGCATACGGTGTACATAACTAACATACTAACTTACAAATAAACAAAAAACAGTTCTACAAGGTTCCAGAAAGATCTAGAATATTCCAGAAAGTCATAGTACTACTATACTTATATATGATTTTAGAAATTTCATGTTGGAGTGACATTTTTTTTAGAAATAAACTGAATGAAACCCTTCATCATTATTTTTTAATAAAAGCAAATGTCATAACGCTAATATATATAGTATTAATAATTCTTAAATAACAAATCCCTAATCAGATCTTCATATTTTGAAGAATAGACACATTTCTTTGTGAAGGATAATAGTTCACTTACATTAACATATTTTAAAGGGTCCTTCATGTAGATTATACTATAAAATCACCAAATAGTAAGAATGAAATTGCCACACTCAATCAGGAAGTACTTTACTATATATAGTGAACTGGCATTCTGCACATTCCAACTTTCATTCCTGTCTGAGCAGAAAAAAAATTAGATTTTTGCATAGCTGATGCATAGTCGTGAGCAATACAGTTTCAGATTTCAGGTAAGGCTTTACAACAATGTTAAAGTTGTCCTTTTTGTATGGCTTTGCATACTGACAAATCATAAAGAAAGGCATAAAAAATGCTGACATCTTCCAAAATAGCTGCTTACAATTAATTGACTGATTTGTTTTTTACAGCTTACCAACCCTTTGCAGGTTATTTAAACAATAGAGTAATGGATTGTGGCACAGATTGAGAAATCAGAGATTTGAGTTCAAATTCCAGTCAAGTTCATTACTTTTACATATGTGCTAATACCTTTGGGAAAGGTATGAATCCAACACTTCTCCCTCCAGCTATGGATAAATAGTAAGACAATTTGAGTTCTATAGCCTTGGGTGGCTACCAGTCTAGAGGAAAATTCTGGTGAAGCACATACTATGCAGCTAAGGAAAGGATCATTTGTATTGACTTGATGATTCTGACTACGGTTGACTCCTTTTAAAGCCAGAAAATATTTTTAGATTGTAAGAATTTTTTTGAGATAATGATTTACTGACACAAGTCTTACTAATTAACCCATAGTTATGTGAGAAAGAGGTGGATTCATACCTTTCTCAAAGGTATTTGAACATAAGTGAATATAATAAACCTAACTGGAATTAGAACTCAGGTCTCCGATCTCCAATTCTGGGCCATTATCGATTACACCACACACACATCAATGCTTACAGCATCTGGTATTCAAAAGTGATCACCCATCTACGTACAGACCAGGCTTGAAATTGCTAGCTGCTTATGATATCTATGTAATATTTACTGGTCTCAGATCTCTAGATAGGAAGTATTTAGGGGAAGAGAAAGCAAGATTATTTCCTTTGATATTAAGAAATACAGGTTATGATCTCAGTCATGACCTGAGGATGTTCAATGAAAGAATAGTTGACTTGAGATGAACCCCAACTAGGAAAAGAGAGAAAAAGTAGGTCAAAAATCACTTCTCAGAGGACACTGATGATGGAACTGACAAAGATGAGAGACTAATAGGAAGAAGAACAGAGGCCAGCAGAACATATCATCAGTTTTATGTTTTTACTGCATTCATTTCTTTAACATTCAAATGTTTTTCACTTTTTGCATGTTATATTTCAGCTCTTCACTTATCTTGTTTTCTATTCATAGTTTTGCAAAACTATATCCATTCTCCAGAAGAGTGGTGGATGCAGTTCTATGAAACATAGAGTAGAGATGAGGTAAGTGAATTTTATTTATTATTATTATTAATGCTCTATCTTTTAAGATCAAGCATTACATTTACAAAGACTGTTTGCCTTAAAAATGTAATCTTCCAGGATACTGCTGGTTGAGCATTTTTTGGTGAGATACAATTTTCATATATATATATATATATATATATAGTGTGTGTGTGTGTGTGTGTGTGGTGGGATTCAGCGGGTTCACACAAGTTCATGCAAACCTGTTCTTGGAATTTTATGAGCTCAGTGAGCACATTGCTAATGTTAGATTGTCTACAAATTGTAGTCACATAATTGGTTGAGCATGTAAATTCACATGATCATATTAAGATTAATATGCAATTGCAGGGGCGTAGCCAAGATTTTTCTTTTTAAATTTTGAAAAAGAAAGTGACTACT